TGCAGCAGCCGACTTTTGTTCTACTTTTTCACTTTTTCTTCCATCATTCAATGTCATTTGCCTGCATTTTGCATTCTAATGATCGCCAGGACCCGGTATGACTTTGTTTCTCTTTAATAGTTTCTACAACAACAAAACACAAAATATTCTTAGAACACATTTTGCCGGCTCGTTGATTGAATTGAAAGTCTTAGTGCTATTATTTATGGAAGAAAATGGCAGGAAGAGAAGAATTGCGAAGAACTGCAATGCTTTTGCTGGCTAAGTGAGTTACACACAAAGTCTTATTTACTTACTTATTTAGCTACTTAAAAGCGTTGGTATTAAATTAAAGAACTTTTACAAAGTATAGCTTCTTCTTACCGTTATATATGATTGTCACTTAAAGTATGGCGTCATACACTTCAAAGAAAGTAGAATGGGCTTTGTCAAGTCTGCGGACGATTTGTCATGTTCAGAGCGCTGAGAATGCACAAATTCTTGTTTGTTGTTGTTGGAAAGTTTGATGAAAGTATGTGAATCCACTTTTGGAAAAAATCATATGCTTTAAAAGGGTAGGGAATCGTTACGCGCCATTCGTTCCTTCTCTTTACTGTCTGGCGCCAATTGGAAACGCCAAGTGAAAGCAGGTCACGAGGTCATCGTCTTCTTCTTCTTCCACCAGCGGGCACACCATAAAATACTTACAAAGCTGGAGTATTTTCATTCTTTCGGACGACATGACCAAGCCAGTATAGCCGCTTTCCCTTCGATTGCAGTATTTGCGGTTATAGTTCGGTCGCAAAACTTTTATCTCGAAGACTTCCAAGCTCGACTTATTGGATATCGCTTCTACACCACATAGTGGACTAGAATGATGAATTGATTACTCATTCGGAAAGCACCAGTTGGCAATAGTGTTTCTGCGTTGGATTTCCAGCCTGACATTACTGCTGGTGTTCAATGATGGTCTCTAGGAAATCGAAATTATCTACGATCCCGAAATTATGACTGTTAACAGCGGAAGCCATGCCGCAAGAGCGTGCCAAATAAAATGGAATGACTTTAAAAAATGATTTATCCATGTCTGATTTTCTATCGTTCTGTTTATACCAACGAAAGTTTCTTTTTGATATTTATAGTTCCCATGGTCAAGTACGATGATGAATACGAATCTAATTCGGACGTAACCAGGAGATAATAACAAGCATTTGTTTGTTGCTCTGCTGGCAGAAGATCGAATTTTGAAAGCATTAATCAACAGAGCTCTACTGAACTAGGTAATGGGTACTAAAGTTCAACCGAATATGGTTGGCATTAGGCTAGAAATAGATTTTCCTTCCATAAAACCGACCTTCAATTTTTGACCGATCTGTATATTTAATAAAAATATTAGCTGTTTTGCTCGAACTTAGTCTTTCTTACTTCTATGGAGGTTTTTTGCTTATATCAACAGAAACGGTTGGTGGAAAGCATAACTGCTACCGCTAGCTTTAGGTATTTCGCTATGAAAAAAAAAAAAAAAGACTTATGTCAGTTTAATTGCAGAAGCTCATGTAGATAAATTTGTCCATAGCCATTGGCTCGCTATGACGATTTCTTTTTGCCGTGTTGTCGTTTGCTGTTGGCAAATGAATATGATTATACCTGCCAAAATTTCCGATCAATAATTTAATTTGGGCCATTGCAACATACGTACATTCATCCAACTGCTAGTACATCGCTGCAGCTGTGAGCCAACTTAGTAAGTCTTAGATGTCTTAAATGTTTGCCAGCGGAATGTTTTATGGTTTGGCAGAATAAGTTGTTTAGTTTTATGGGTTTCTAAAGAAAATTAAAAATTTTTTATTTTTACTTTTGGCTATTAAAATAAGGTAAATTTGAAGGTAATACCAATTCGACTTCGGTATGTAAAGCAGATAGTGATTTCTGAAGAATAAATTTAAGAAAATTACAAGAAATAGAGTTATCTCACTATGCTTAGGACTTTAGGAGCTAGATATTCATAAATATGTAGGCAGCTTAATTCTTCTCTAATTGCTTTTTCAGTCCGGCCAGACAATCAGTGATGTGGATATACCCACTATTTCCACCACGAGCGGGTATGAGATTGAATACTTACAGAGCTTTAGTGCTTTTACCCATTCGGATGACATGACCTAGGCAGCATAGCCATTGTATCGTTGTTCCAACGTTAGACGTTGCCCATGTCCAAAGAACATTAGGAATCCTATTCTCACTGTTACCGATAAAATATATCCATTTACTTTTTTAAGCCCGAAATTGAGTTTAGTTTGGTATTCTAGCGCACAGATTATACTGTTTAAAAAAAAGTTTGACGGCACAGCTTCTTTTTTTGACCATGTCAAATTACATTTACCAGTTGGTAAAATTAAAAGAAGAACATTCACATTGAATTGGAAGACGGAGCGCAACAAGTAATATGTAAATTCTATTGACTTGTTTACTGAGTCATAAATAATTGCAACTGATTATGGAAAATATGCCAGGACGACATAAAAAAGCTGAATGAAAACGTTATCATCCAAATTAAAGGGGTTTTTCTCGCAAACTTCTTAACATGCACCTTTTGGCACTTTTTCTTCATCTTGAATGAATTTTAGACGTAAAATATGCCTCCACGTTTTGGTTTTTATTTTTTCTCAAATTAACAAGATAAAATTACAGGGTGATTCAGTATACGGAATAGTAACAAAATTTACTGAATGATAAAGTTTATTACCTTGACATCTGTTGGTAAGGGTGATTCTTCGTTAGATCCTAAGTCTGACATATTATTGATGTTAATGCTAGCCCCTAGATGGTCGAAATTATAAACGACCTCGAAGTAATGAGGTGGAAATCAAGTAAGGGAGTCGCCAAGTGCACCAAGTGCTTATTTGATGACTGGAGATATTTTGTCGTCTCCTCATTCTCCACAAGGTTTTTTCTCGTCGATTCTTTATTAAGTTTAGAGAAAGAAAAACTGCACTTTATAACCGCTGTAGCAATTTCCGGTTTTAATCAGATAATGAGTCACTATATTAAGAGTGATAATATTGGTCTGCAACAAGACTAAAATTCAACAAATTTGATGAGTAAATAGGCTATTTCCCAAATTTTTTGGCTTCCTCTACGATGTATATTTTTTATAAAAATTTTAATTTGTTAAAAGATTTATTAATTAACCCTTTTAAGCGATTCCATGGATCAAAAATCGATTGTTTTTATTGTTCTATTAATTTCTACAATACCGCAATAATATTATTCGTCGATCCGAATAAAGGTTTCCAAAAACAAGCCTTGAAATGGTGAGCGCTTAAAGTCAGCTACACAACCGATTTTCATGAAATTTTTCACAGGTATTCGACAAACAATCAACGAGGAACAACTATTTAAAAAAAGTTGCAATTTTTTATTAAAACATCTGTCGAAAATTCAATTTTCCCATTTTTGTTTTCCCTTGTCCAAATTCTTGTTTACGGAAGTAATACGATTTTTCCCCGCAAATTATCCCTTCATAATTTCTACTGTCACCAGAAATTGCGCCATAATGATGGAGCTTTGCAGTTTTCCGAATTTCATTGTCAAATATATATCTTTAAGATGGTAAAAAGTTTCAGAAATGCTCAACTAACGAAACGATGTCATTTACTTTTGTTTATATGAAAAATTAACTTAACAAATTGGTTTTGTTTCGTGTTTCGGCGCCATGCTATCGAAGCAAAATGAAATTTAACGTTGAAACCGCACAAGCTCATTGATAACCTTAATTTTAAAACGCCTGCTGGCTATGATATTAACAGCACACTTCAATTTTACCCTTCAACATTATCTGTTAACGACTTAACATTATCTGTTAACGACTTAACATTATCTTTTAACGACTTAACGTGAATGTTAGTCATTTAATATGAACGACAGCATTTCGTTTCGGGAAAAACTATATAAAACTGATTTTGATAACTGCTTTACTGATAAGATTTTTTTCTCCTATTGAGCGTTTGGCCATAGGCGAGCAGCTCGTAAAAGATCATTCTTTGTCAATCCCACCAAACACGCAGCAAAACCTTCCTGGCCACCAATTTGGTCTTGGCCACCGTCTGGGCCGCTTCCTCGAGCTATGACCACTACGCGCTTGATGTTATCGTATGTGACCTATTTTTTATCGCCAGTCACAATCGACTTTAGAAACTGGTCGATTTTGTTTCGATTCAGCAGCGATTCGCAGATGGAAATTCGGTCCATCATGTTTTTTTTTTTTGCATTAGTTCGTGTGGCACCCAAACATCGAGTTTCTTATTGAATCCAAGGTTATAAAAATGGTTCCAAACGATTTCCTGGCTTAACTTTAGCTCCTCAGCTATTAAATAGGTGCTCACGCGACGGTCTGTTTCCATTATTTCCATGATTTTATAGCAATTTTCGACGACAGGACTGCCGACGCGTGGTGCACCTTTGTCGTCGAAATTACCGGAATGAAACCTAGCCAACCACTTTTGTGCTACAAGTTCAGTTCAATCGAAAATCTGTCAATGACAAACTTTTAGCACGATTAAACACGTTGTCAGCGACGTAAAGTATGACATGATGCGGCACGTAACACTAGTACTATGAACAATAAGGATATCTCTTAGATAAAAATCGATCGGACTTTTTACTTTACCTAATATATTCTATCAGTTTGCATTTCTTATATCGCGTCATGAATCGTCTCAGGTGTATCAACTTATTCTCATCGGCTCCCTACAAGGAATACTGAAACGTGCTTAGTGTCTTAGCTAAAACATTTTATATACTGTGGATGACCCACCCTTTATTTTTTAATTATGTGTATGTAAGATAAATAAAAAACTGTTAAACTAAATTAAACCAAGCAAAGGAAAGGCTTCTGCATAGCCAAGGTCAACATTTCTCGGGTGTTGCATTTTTTTTAATGTTTCAATTAAAACTTAAAATTGTCTCTTTTAAACCACAATTTCCAGCAAATTGTAATCCGATCTCCTTCTAATCTTTCACAGCTACACAGTTGAAACAGTGAACCAACGAAGGAGCAGTAAAAAAGATATTCCGCGTAAAATGGATGCCACAGTTAATAATGTTAGAAATATAACGCAATTATAAACCGTTATAAAGCCAAAGTACAACAGAGGAGGCAAAAGCGCATTTAAAAGGACACCGTTATCAAATTACCAACCAAAAAGAGAAAAACAAATCGAGAAACAAAAAAAAAAGAAGAAGATGCATCAAGTGCTAAGCTATGAGACCGCTGTACGTGCCAACAGTTCACGCGAATATCGCGAGTACGTCACCAAGCGCACTTGCGTCAGTCTCGTACTCACAATCGCCTTTCTAACACTTATATTGGGTGAGTAGACGCACTCGTCCAATATATTTATGTACATAAAAAACCAGCTTAAGTGCGGCATTAAAAAATCCTTCTACGTTTTTAATGTGTTTTTATTATTCTTATTATTTTTGATTAAATTCTTCTCTACTTTCACAGGCTATCTACTTGGCAATTTCGTGTCGGAGCGTAAATATCAAATGCGCTTGAATAAGGAGGCGGGCAAAGGCGGCAGCGGTGGCGGCGGAGCTGCCGGTCTGCCACACACTGTAGATGTCAGCAGTGCTGATTATGAAAATCTCAAAGAAATCAATACGTATCAAAAGAACAAAGCCAAATTGTTGAGCTCAGCACAGGCGCTGACGAAAATGCTACAACGCGATCAAAGCTCGCCGGCGAATTCCATTAATTCGGTGATTTTCAATAAGTACATATCGTGCACACAGGACATACCACCGAACACCAGTATGGAGTCCAGTAAATTTATCGAACAGCTGGTGGATAATGCGGCGGCGATACAGAAGGATTGTCTGCGTGTCATACAGTTGGTCATTGACGATAAGATGACTGGCGGCACCAACTGAGGGGTTAAGTAGAGTCTTCAGTGTAGACATGAAGTGTGATAAAACGATGATGGGTGGAAGGGGCTAAGTTAGTAAGAGATGGGAGCAGCAAAGGATGTTAAGTTATTAAAGAGTTTATGCTTTATAATAGGTGTAGGCAATAAAGAGTTTGGCGCAGTGAGTGACAAAGGTAGCGGGAGACTAGGGTCGTGGGGATTAAAGTGGTAAAGTGTTAAGGCAGGTTTGAAGGGCTAAAGGGCAATAAATGTTTAAGATAGTGAGTAATGTGCTGACATATTTAAAATGTACTGTTAAGAAAGAAGATCGATGTGTGTGTCCCATATCTAGCAGTCTTACAATGGAAATATTTTTAAGTAGGCGTGGCTGATTATGATTTTACAAGTATATAAATACATACATAATTATATATGTTCATATGTATGTATGTATAATGACATCTTTCATAGTGGGCCAAATACCTTTTTTATATGTATGTAATATCAATGTATATTATTTTTATAAACATTTTTTTCTAAATGTAAATATATAAAAACTATTTAAAGTAAATAGTTGCAGAACGCATATACATACATATATACATAAATGAATATTTACATATATCAAGCGTACAGTCCAGCAGTTCAGTCTAGTTCAGTCGATTTGCGTACAGAGAATTCTCCAAGGCGTGATTAAGATATATATATATATATATATATATATATATATTGTATATTATATAGAAAAAAACATACATAAATACTTATACGATTGGGAATAAAAAGAGGCTTTTAATGACAGTAAAATATGTTTGTACTAAATAGAAATATATAAAGGCAAATAAATTAACATGAAGAATTTAAAAGAGCAACCAAACATACATATTTATGTTATGGAAATGCCATACTTAAACGTACACACATACCCAATTACTAATCCCAACAATAAAAAATATACACACACATACACTTTTTCAGCGCCAAAAATGGCGAAGGAACAACATTTATTACGTTTATTGTACTTGAATGTGCTCAATGTTTACATAAGGGAATATATACACACGCATACACACACATACACACACACACGCCCATAAACACTAACATACTCGTACTGGCATTTAAATGTAATGTTTGTATTGCCGTCTGTTAAAAATATAGAATTTATCTACACCGAATACTACATATATGTACATACATACATATATGTATGTCCGTACATTCCTTATAATATTTAGAAAGCCTCCAAAAATAAAATAAAATAAAATAAAAATAAAAAATGGTAAATTTATATGCATACAATAAACATTGTTGTATTTTATAGTACATACATACCTACATCTTCTTATCTGATTTTCAAAACATACAGACATCACCATGATGTACTTCAAATAAATACCCATGGCTCTGACACTGTAAACATTATTTCATTATTTAAGATGTACTGATTTTTTTTTTACATACATATACACCAAAGTGAAGAGATTAAAAGAAAACAAAAATAATACTAATAATTTTAATAATTGTACTTAATGCAAAATGTGGATATTTAATGTCTGAGAGGTAGTCGGAGAAGATGAATAAATTATTAAATATATATAAATGTGAAATACGTAAAAGAAAATGTTGCTTTAATTATTTAAATTAATTTTAAAGGTTCAGTGAATTGTAATTTTATATCCTTTTTATATAAAATACTAGCGAGCCCAGCCAACAGTTGTTGTTGTTTTCTGATTTTTGTTCAATTTATATTAACTCCTATTCAGCATTTCGACTCGACTCGAAATGGTCGCCGTTCGTAAAATTTGGTATTCTACATTACGTTCCGTTTCGGTCAATCTTCGTAATTATTGATTCTATCCACTCTACATTTCAAACGTTGTGTATTTAAGTCAGAATTCGTTAAAATTGAAAATGTTATTAAAACATGAATTTGATTGTGGTATAAGTATTTTTTTTTAAAGTGTTTTGAGCTTATTAAATTTTTTGGATATACTCGCAGCTCAAAAACAACCGCACTAATATGCCATAGTGGCCACCAATATGGACAGGCGCTCCAAAAGCGCCTGAAGGAAGAAGTGAAAACATTTTGGGTGGACGTTGCAAATGCCTTAAAAGCACTTGGTCCACCAAGATCAGGTCAGAAAAGTTTTATAAAGAGAGCACAAGACATAATGAAGCTGTGTTCAAAAAAAAAATGGAAGAAAGTCTCTCCTGCCTGCCAAGCATGAATCGTTCTTTAGATAGCATGGCGGATACTAAGAACAGGAGCAGAAAAAACATAACAAAATAAGGTAGAAAATTGAGACTAAGCTGGAGATGCTGAGGTTGGACCCAAATTACAGCTTCAACACAATTAATTTTTGTTTTTTTCCTTTATTATTGTTTGTATATTTATTTTTATTGTTCTTTCGTCTTGTAAAATGAGTACTGAATTTTATTATATTTAAGAATCATTTATTTGTGAATTCTGTGAAATGTACTAAATTTTTTTAATTAAATAGAAAATACAATTTTAGATATTTGTTTTAATATCTCAAATTCACATGCAAGCAGCTGATTTCGAAATGTCTTCTCTCTTCCTCTACTTCTTTCGCTTCGAACGTAACTCAGAATACCTTACTACGACTGCAACTGAGCGGAGTCGAAAATGCAGAATAGGGCTGATTATCTTAAGAGTAATATATATATGTAGTGATTTTCGGCCGAACACTTCCTCCAATTTATCATTTTTTGTGTCTGCAGTTTATACCAAGCAGCCTCCGAACGGCTGATGGTTTTTTTTTTTTCCGAGGAGCTTTGTTTCATGTCCGAAATTCACTCGGAGGGATCGACATTCCCTGCCGAGGGGCGACCGCAATAAGAAAATTTAAACTTGTTTTATATTTAAATTAATTATTAGTAATAGACACAGAATAATGACAAATCCTTATGAAGATTCAATTAGTGCGACATACCAAAATTTCTATAATATTGGCTTAGTGAAAAGTAATCCAATATTTTTGCATTAAATTGATGGTTTTTTATACCAAAATTAGAATTATCCGATTGTGTTAATGCCACCATACGCACAACAAAACCTTCGTGGTCGTAAATCTTATCTAAGAGATGGTTCATTGCGCTTTGGCTCCGATCATTTTCATTTGACCCACTTTTCATCATCACCAATCGACATCCGCTTCAGAAATGGGTCGATTTTGTTGTGATTAAGCAGCGGTTCGCTGATGGAAATTCGGCTTACGTGGTTTTTTTCTCGTCAATTCATGTGGCATCCATTGAGATTCTATGTGTATCCAGACTTTTTCAAATACTTGCAAACTTGTTTCTATTTTTACTTTGATATTTTCGACAATTGGCCTCCAGACCGTGGAGCGTTCTTTATTGAAGACAAATTTTTGGACTTGGCGGATTTTCTCCTTGCTGGTGTACGAGTACATCTTTGACATACGCTCAAACGCTGCTGAGTTAAGTGGCACTTCTACCGGTCCCTTTTTAGTAAGAAATATTTTCTTTCCAATGGCATCTAGCGTAATTCGATCACATCAAAAATACTGTGTATTTATTGGGGTTGAGATAAACTCGAGAAAATCGTATTTATGGATCTACTTTCTATGAACGTGATACTTCTGTTGCTGTCAGGGAGTCGACGAGGAACTGACTTATTACAAAGAATTAGCTGAAAGTCTACACGGCCTGGAACAAATTGGGTAATTATGAATTTGAAATATCTGTGTCAAGTTCAGGGAATTTTTATAGGTTAGAAATATTTTGAGAGTAAAACAGGGACAGATCTATTCGCAAAAGTCATTGTTATAGCTCTACATTTTATTTAATTGAAACAAGACCACATGCGATGGCATAAAATAGGCGCAGCACCTACAAAAAAGTTTAACATGTCACAGTTAGCTAGGGAAACTCAAGTATGGTTTGGTGCTAGGAAGGAGTTTTATTGATGTATTTTAAAGATAAAGTGGATGTTACTACGCTTAAATATTCGAGCGAATATGCAGCCATTAAAGAGAAGAGACGGGGATAAAGTTGACGAAAGATGGTACTGGTTTTACATGACTAGAGTGGCGTTTCGTTGGCTGGCCTGCATAAGGCGGGCTTCGATATTTTGCATCACCCACCTTACGACCCAGATCTGTCCTCGAGCGATTTCCAAAATGAAAAATAGATGAAGCGTAAAAAATTTAACACCGATAATGAAGTCAAGTCGATAGTTTGGGCATGTTTTTTAGATAAAGAGAAATGTTTTCATTATAAATTAATCAATTGAAAGATCTCAAAAATGTATCCGCCTTGCAGGTGAATTTTATAATTTCCCTTCCCGCCGTTCAGCGACCATAAAAACGCTAGCTCATAAGCACATATGTAAATACTTACGTTCGAAAAAAATATATTTCGTGCCCAAGTGTACGTGTGTTTTTTTTCAATTTATTTTGAACTCACGCACTTTCACTTATGTGAAGATGTGAAAAAAGAGGAAGCAAAAGATATTGCTGGCATACCAATGAGTTAAAGAGACGTTGTAATTATAAGTTGTGTTGGAAAAGGCGTGAAGTTATTTGTGCTGAAAAAATGGTCATCTAATAATTTGGCACGCCTGCTGTCAATCAACATGAAAATCTTTGCCGCAGAGGTGATTATTATCAAATTAAAGAGTAAAAATGCAAAGTATTCACTTCTATATAAATTTGTAGGAAATATGAATCATCTACAGCATTTATATTTGTTGTTGATAACATTAAATATTCGAGCATTCGAGCCATGCGGTTCCAGGTGGAGATTTTGAACTCACAAACTACTTATGGAATGTCGCTCAGAAGAAATAAATTAAATTTTATTAAGAAAAGGAAATTTGTTTTCAAACATACCAAATCCCTTATATTTTTCGTGACCATATCGAATTTATGGTCAATTTAGAATTAAATTCTCATATCTGAAGAGTTGTCCGGAGGGAGCTAAATGATATAGTCCTAAGATTACGACAATTTTCAGTCTTAATATATATTTCTATATAAACACATATTTGGCATAACATATTTCGCCCTCATAGCTGAATGAACCACCAGACCAGACCAACAAATTTCTTGCTTTGAGATGCTTGTTTGACGTGTTTGGACTATCATGCCGTTGGTTTATCGGAAATTTACCACTCGAAAAGGAGGCGTGGCACCTGAAACCTGCTTACATATGTCTAAAAGTTATTTGTACGTACATATCTTTTTGTCTAAACGTCTTAACCGAGTTTGGTCTTCAAGGGAAATGGCGATAGTTAAATATATAACTCAGCAGAATTGCCACCTGTTTCAAAGTGATTTTTGTATAACAATTTTTCTGTTAGTATGTTTATGAGTGAATTCATGCTAAATGGCTGAGGAGAGAAACTTGACTAATGCAATTAAATTTATAATTTAAATAATATGAAATGAGAGTAATAAACTCAAGGGAATTTTTAAGTCTTGAGGCGAAAAATATTTTTGCGACTTGCCATTTTTTGAATCGCAACAATAATAAGTCAAATAAAATGGATCCAAGCTGAAAATATTAAATAAAAGTCTAATGCGGAAACATTTTTGAAAATAATTTCCCAGCTTGAAATCTTTAATTTAAAAATAGATATATAAAATAAATTAATTATGTAATATGTGTATTTGAAAATTTTATTGCAGTGAAATATATATTTTTTTTTAGTTTTACTTTTCTGTTACAGCGCATCGAATGCTCTCAGAAACTTACGGTGATGCTGCTCTGAGTGAATGAACGTGTCGGGAGTGGTTTCAACGTTTTAAAAATGGTAATTTCGATGTCGAAGACAAAAATGGTGGTGGAAGAGAAATTTGGTGGGATCAGCTCGGTGTGATTTACTACGAGCTCTTAAAACCGGGTGAAACCATCACAGGATATCGCTACCGAACGCAACTTATGCGCCTTAGTCGCGCGTTAAAAGAAAAGCCACAAGATCAAGGGCGACATGACAAAGTCATCCTCCAAAGTCAAAAGTACCTGGAAACGCTGAAATGGGAAGTCTTGCCCCACCCGCCGTATTCCCCAGATGTCACCCCTTCTAACTTCCACCTATTCCATTCGTTGACACACGGCCTGGCAGATCAACATTTTCAATCCTTCGAAGAATTGGAAAAATGGATTGTTCATGGATAGCGTCAAAAGAGGACTCCTTTTTTCGAGCCGGGATCCGAAAATTGCCGGAAAGGTGGGAGAAAGTTGTCGCTAGCGAAGGACAATACTTTGAATAATATATCAGTAAGCACTTTTTCGCGATAAAGCTTTTAATTTTGGAAAAAAACGGCGGAAGCAAAGTTGTACACCTGATAAAAGTCCTCATTTCTTAGAAACGTTAAGCCATTTCAGAATGCTCATAAAACTTCAACCATCCAATACACAAAAAAAAAAAAAAAAAATGAACTCGCCGGGCAACAGAAAAAAAGGAAAAGTAATAAATCTTTTATTTGGCCTTAATAATTTCTAGTCGGCGCTTAACAATTAATGAATAGAGAGTACAAAAATATGTTTCATTTAAGAGATTAAACAAACTAAACCAAAATTCAAAGCATTATTTTTTTTTAAATAAAAATTAAGCTTTTTCTCTGTAATGTGCAATCAACAGTAAACACCACCAGTTTTTCACTCCAGTGCCAGGAAAGTGTTTCTGCTTTTAATTTTCCAATTTTTTAGGAGACCAAACTTCTAAATATAATCTATCTACGAAAAAATCATACCAAAAGGTCCGAGTACATGATTATGGGTTATACGTTGATTATTTACCTATGTTTAACCTTTGTTTAACCTTAAAATTTTAGCCACCAATTTTCTGCGGAACCAACTGTAATATAATCCCTACTCTAACACAAACAGAATTTGCAAAAGCGGCATGAAACGTTTCCCTCCTTTCCAACATTACAAAAAAAAAAAAGAAAAGAAAGATTGAAATCGGATTACGGCATAGGCAGGATCAAAGAATCCTTCCCCATACTCCGCTGGTTAACATTTTTTATAACTCTCGATTGAACAAATTTCAAGCTACACCCTGGAAAATAAAAAAATAACTATCAAAATCAGAGTACTGCGTGTGGAGATCTACGACGGCAACCGAACATGAACTGAGTAGGGGAACGAAGGTGAGATGTCATTTGCAAGAGCGTGCGCATAGATAGAACAATTCAAAACAGGAAAAATGTCGACTTTTGCCATTTTTGCGACCATAAGAAAAATGTCTTGAAACTGAAATATTTTTTTAGATCTGAACTGTAGCATCTGCTTAGAAGATAACCCCAAAAATAATTAAAAAATCTACCAGTTGAATATTTTATAATTGGCAGGATCAAACATTTCTGAGCAAAAACACGTCGAGTGACAAAAATTTTGAAGTGAAACTACCTCATTGAATTTTTTTATCTTGCTTTCAGCATTATGCATTTATTGAATTCATTTGTAATAAAAAATGTGATAAATAAAGAGCCGCTGAGCCGATTTTGAACAAACATCAAATAAAATATCTACTAAAAAGTCCAAACAAAGCCTAGAAATTAGGTTTGGTTAGGAGAGCCCGTTGTTGAGTTATAAAAACAGAACGAAAAGAGGCATTCATTTTAATATATGTATGCCATACATGCCTACATATATAGATTTTAAATAATAGGTTTGTTTATTGAGACTGAAACTAGAGTAGAGTAGCTCATGTTCGATCAGAATGAATTAGAGCAACCCGGAGCAAAAAGCCCATGAACATTTTTCGGACAGCAATTTTCAAATGGGAATGATGGACTCTTCTGTTGTAAACAAAATAGAAAAATTTTACGATTTTTTCATATATTTCTTAGTAATATTTATAATTTTTTTCGTCATTTGTATTTAAGTCGTTTGCTGTGCCCCGTGAACATCCATTTCTTATATTTGGCCCGCTTTTGTTTTCCAAGCTCGTCTGTCAATGAAAATCTCATTGCTTGCTCCAAGTTAATCTACCAAAAAAATCAGGGCAGAAGATTGTGATCTGAGTTGATCTATTTCTGCTTAGAGCAGGCTGATGAAACAAAAAAAAACAGTTTTCATGAAACATAATTTTTTTAAATAGTGTAATCTGGTGTAACATAGAGCAGCCCAAGAAACAAACGTAGTAAGAAATATTAAAAAAATTATTTTTTATTTATTATTTTATTATTTATTAAATCAGTTATTAGGTTTAAACTACTAACATCCAAAGAATATTTATTAGAATATTTGAAGAAAACTACGTAGCTTGGGACTCGCCACCTCCCTCCCTTCTGCTCTCGTGACCGAGCTCTGGATTTATAGACGTTCCCTTACTAATTGGCAAACCAAATTCCTTATATCTACATACACGTATATATGTACATACCTTTTTCTTAAATATAATTTGCAGGTATTTTTGAGAAATCACAGGAGTCACGAATTCGTGGCATGTTAACAAGGGCAATAAGTTATGTATGATGATTAACTGTTAGTGGCACATGTACCAATGCATTATCAAAACAAGAAGTGCATACAAACTTATGTGCATATAAATATGTTATAATATGTATGTATGATATATGTTTGTATGTATGTGTGAGTGCGTGTGTGAATGGTTGAAAATCTGTCGTAATATGGCAAGCACCAATTATGCCAACAGATGTGTACATCTACATAAATATATATGCCGTGTATGTACGTATGTGCATATATTTAAAATGCACAAATGACTATATAAACATATAAACAATAAAGCTATGAACCATAGATACGACCGATTTTCGAACACACAACACTGCCAAGCCCAATTGAAGCGCGATTTTCTATTGAATTAGCTTAGGCGGCTTGGCGAAAGCCAGTCGGCAAACGAAATGGGCTTTGAATAGGAAGAGCAAAAGTTAGCGAAAAAATGCAATCAACACATGCATACACACATGCACTATAGACATACAGCTAAAACTAAAGCAAAAACAATAAGCGTTTGGAAGCGATGACGATGCTGTCATTGCACGCGTCACAAAAGCTCAAAGCGAAACAGACAAACAAAGAGGAAAATACCAAACAAATAATAACAAAACGAAATAAAACAAAAAGTAAATAAAAATGAAAATGAAAATGTCAAAAAGGTCGTCGGCGGCAATAACAACTACAGCGTGCCAGGCGATCAAGTAAAACTTAAATACTACACACATTCGGGTATATACTTGGGTTGCTATAAAGTAAGCATGTCTGCAAGGGTGGTCCAAAAACTCTTGGCAAAATTGTTTTTTTTTTTTATTAAAAGAGATACATTAGAAGCTTCCTGCGCAGCTGCTAACTATATAAAAAAAACACTTTTTATTAGTGTAGTAGACACCTTATAAATTTTATTTAATTTTTGTCTTTTTTGGTAAGATGCTATGTAAATACAAATTTACGAGACTTAACTGTATAAAGATAGCATTTATTATAGTTTTCCAATAATTTTCAAAAAGTTGGGAGGAATTTCGCTTCTGGAAACACACTGTTGAAAGCGATAGACCCACACATCAACAGGGCTACCCTGCTCATTCTTATCTGCGCAACGGCCGATTATTTCGTCAATCTCTTCTCTTTTTAATACAGGCTCGAATTGCCTTACTAAGCGATCTTTCTTGAAACCGGTTTCTGGGTCGAAAACTCCCCATTTGGTGAAAACACACACTTCATAGTTACGAACTACATCTTCGTCTGGGAAGCGTAATACCTCCTCGTGTTTCTGCAATTCTTCATTAAAAGGATGTTCCTTGTGGCATTCTCTGCGTATATCGTTGACCTCGTTGGCAGATTTAATTTTCCAGTCGTCTTGGGCTTGAGCCTAAAAATAAATGACAATTATTATTGAATCTAAATTTAATATTAAATTTATTCTTTTTCATTTTTCTGCAACAACAAATTATATCATTTATTGATACTCGATTTGTATGATTCAATAACTAAAAGTTGGACAACTAGAGTCAAAGTAGTTTTGACTCCCCCGATTAAATATTTGCACTTTGGAAAGATGACTGAGAAAAGAATGTGTTTTTTTTTGTTTAATAGACGAAAAAAATATAAAATGGCGCATATTTACAAAAATTGGAGTTAACTTTGAAAAAAAAAAAAGACTAACGCCACTGAGTTCAGTGCACACGTCTTAGGGAAACCTTATATGTAGGTGCCTGCTTTGTCGAAATTTCCGACTAGCTCAGTGTTATTTATTAGACGTTACATTCACCCAATACGAAATTGACACTAAATGATTTTTTTTCTCATTTCAAAAATTAATTCATTGAAAATTTTCAAAAAATTTGGTTGACTGAAAACTCTTTCTGCACTTATTTATTATATGAATTATTTTGTACAACTTTTTCGGATCGGTTTCTCTCACTTTTAGCTCAAGATTGAATCAAATGTCTAATTTTTATCGGATTGGTAAATAACTGTTTGTATGTAGGTGTGATGTTACTTACAAGTACAACAGCTGCCAGGATTAGAATGAAATATTTCATTTTGAAGTACGATTGGGTCTCACTTTCGGTTGTAACTGACTGGTTAAGGCACTGGTGGGTCGTATTTATACTGCTCTAAATGAGCGTTATCAGTTACTATTATTATCTTTAGTATATTTTAATTTTTTTTTCAGAAAATTGTACAAACATATATCGGTTACATTCACTAGTTTTAATGCTATCTCGTTAGACAAAAACAAACTATGTTTGCAAAAGTCGAAGGTCATTAGATGATTAACATATTTCCTTATTATTATTGTTATTATTATTATTGTTTTTTTAGTTGATACTGAATCAACGTAATTTACTTACACACACACGTACAAGCTATGAATATATTTATTATACTTAATTATATTTTTTGAAATGTAGCCGCTGTCCCTATGTAAAACCGTTCCCTCCCTCAAAAGCTCGCAGCGCCAACTTATCGGAAGTCATCAACATCCATGCTTCTGCACCATTTACCAAGCCTTGAATGTTGAGTGACTTCCAGAGCTTTGGTTTTGTTAATCGGGGAAACTCTTAACTTTACAAACATCGTTCTGCGATGGATTTCAACCTATTATTTATATATATTTTAAATTTTTATTTATATTATTAAACAAAGTCTATGGTTACAATAACCTTATTTAGTAGAAAGTATAAAATTTACTTAAAGTAAAAATTTACAGACTAAAAAGCAGAGAAAAACTAAGAATAAGAGAAATTTAACTTACAAGGGAAAGCATTTCCTGACATTTCGAAGTCTAGATTTGGAGTTTTAGAGATCACAGTTAACTCAGTCAACGCAAGAGTTATGGCAGCATTGTTGTAATAATTTGATTTAGCTATCTTGATAACCGAAAGGATAGCTGCTCCGCAGAGTCTTTGCGGAACATTGAAGACCTCAAAAAATTTTATTATTACAATCAAAGCAGTTATCAAACAACTTTTTTTTTTTAATATGTTCTTTCCACATAATATTATATAAGAAAAAATAAATTTTAATTCAGTTTATACGTAAGACAAAATTAAAAAAGATATTCATAGAAAATATTTACATAAATGATTTCTATTTGATCTAAAATTAAATATTTTGTTATGAATTAAAGTGTCAGTAGTTAATATATTTTTCTTTTCTATTTTGAGTAACATCAGACACTGTCGAGTGGTTAGAATTGCGTATTGACATTCTGAAGGCTCGGGTTCAAATTCTGGTATCAAAAACATCCAAAAGTTATGGAAAATTAATTTAAATAAAAAAATTTAGTTAAATTTTCTAATTGCGGTCACCTCACGACAGTTAATGTCCATCCCTCCGAGTGTATTTTTGACATGAAATAAAGGCTTCTCGTAAAAAAACCATCAGCCGTTCGGAGGTTGCTTTATTATTAACTGTAGGTCCCTCCATTTGTTGGAAAAACATCAAGACGCTAAACCACCCTTCATTTTGTGGTGTGTGTCTTAATATTTTTTCAACAAACGGATATACCTAAAATTTTGTATAAGCAGCCTCTGAATGACCGATTGCGACCTTGACAAAGTTCCGCAATTAAGGCACAGCAACTACGTTGGCTTGATAACGATATGAGGATGTGCAACAATACTCCAGCTTTGAAAGTTTAAAAGCCGGTGGAAACAAGCGAAGAGTGAGACCTCCACCGAAGAGCGAACTGAACTCGCAGAATCATTGCGCGATATTCAATAAACATTTTATGTTCCATTAAACGAACAGAAGCTAAGATTTGTGGAAGGGCGATTTTTCACCCGGTAAACGCTTCTTGAAAAACATGAAAGGAAATGTGGCTTTCGCACCAGATCGTGACTGAAGATGAAAAGTTGATATGCTACGATAAAACAAGAAGAAAATATGTCAAAACTATGTCAGTTTTGGTTGACCCGTTCCATCCAACATCTACATCTATACCAAAAGCAAAAAGTTGCACGATTCAAAGGTCATGCTCTGCTTATGGAGAGACCAGATTGGTGGTTTTAGCGTTAAAAAAACTACTTGGGAACGATGAAATGGGAGATCTTATCCCACTTGCCGGTTTTCCAGACCTTGTTCCTGCTGACTATTGGTTGCTTCGGTAGATGCAAAACGATTTGCGGCATCGAAGAATGATTCAATGAATGGTTCGAGGATAGAGAGGACTCACCTTAACAATTTATAAACGTCGGCAAAGTAGGTTCTTATAGAGTATTCCGATTTTGATGTTACTTTTATATTAGAAAGGGTATAGTTTTGAAAAAAAATTTATGATTTTTTTCCTTTAAAACATAGGGCATACTTCGATGTTTATTTTATCTGGTGTACAACTTTGCTTCCGCCGTTTTCCGATAGGTGGCTGTACCGGCTGAGGCTGGTTGAAATACTGAGATGATAATGCCTTTAAAGTGAGTGTGGACAGTGCCTAACGAATTGTCATCGCCGTTTCAGTGACAGTTGTTCTTGTTTTCGTATTATTCACTCTCGACAATGTCCGTTTATGTGTTGCCGAATCGTTGGGAGTGAGTCAGCAAGCCATTTCAAAACGTCTCAAGGTCCTGGGCATGATTCAGAAAGAAGGAAACTGGGTGCCGTACGAGTTGAAACCGAGGAACATCGAGCAAAAGTGGTCAAAAAGTACCTGGAAACGCTGAAATGGGAAGTTTGCCCCACCCGCCGTATTCCCCAGATGTCACCCCTTCTGACTTCCACCTATTTCGTTCGATGGCAAACGGCCTGGCAGATAAACATTTTCAATCCTTCTGAGAATTGGAAAAATGGATTGCTTCATGGATAGCGTCAAAAGAGGACTCCTTTTTTCGAGCCGGGATCCGAAAATTGCCGGAAAGATGGGAGAAAGTTGTCGCTAGCGAAGGACAATACTTTGAATAATATATCAGTAAGCACTTTTTCGCGATAAAGCTTTTAATTTTGGAAAAAAACGGCGGAAACAAAGTTGTACACCTAATAGTAATTGCAAAAATTTTAATTTTTAGACCTTTTTAACTCTTTTCCGTTCATCTTCTTTCAATATTTACTAAAATTTTTTAAACTTATTTTGTGTCACCCTAATTTAATCGGAAGAGATAAACAACTTGCTGTATTCACTTCGATGAATGCCGCCTGGCACTTACAGTTCGTATGTTTTTTGTTTTTGTTACTTCTTTTGTGGTAAGCCGGTGGTGTGTGTGTTGAGTATGACTTAGCGGCATGTGGCACGTTAGCTGCATCTTCGTGAACTCGGTATTGCACCCGCTGGAGAAGCAGAAGCGTGCAAAAAATACAACGGTAAATTGCCGGTGCAGCGGTTGTTGCCATTTAGGTGTTGTTTGGTGTTGTCTTCATGTACTCTTTACAAAAATGTATTTATAAACATATACCGCTAAGAGTGTGTATGTGTGTGTGGCATTGTCATGAACGGAAAAAGTGTAAGCTTTTGCGGATAGTCGTTAAATATTTTTGCTATTTCTGGAAGTAATGACGTAATGAAAATAATTATTTAAAAAATTAGAGGATACAACTGAACTGAAAAGCAAATACCAATGATAGAACACGAGACAAGAATAGAGAATTCTTGGTAGACTAAAAAAAACCTGAAGCCGGTAGCGTTGCACTTTGCTTCACTACCTTGCTCTCGACAGATTGACGCTCAGGCAACTTAGCTATCGTATTTTGATGAACTCAGGTGCGTCAACTTCAAAACTGGGCAATAGATATTGAGCATGTAGTGCAAGTCTGGTATTCTGCGCAACCTATTCGGCAGCTGGTAAACGTGGCAGCACGACAAAAGGGAGAATTGTATGTTTGTGAATGCTGCTTCAAGATCAGTTAGAAACAATAAAACCTAACATCAACATGGACTTCATTACGTATAAGAAAACCTTGTGGTTCAACTCTTAATAATAAAAAAATAACTATGCCATGAATAAACAAACTTAGCACAATTAAATGATCAACTGCCGGAACCCGCAATTGTAGCATACAATCGAATAGAGATATGTGTTCTTTAGTTTGTAAAAAAAAAAATTAAAACTAATAGCGTGAAGTTTCATATTCTGCACCAATATGATGAATTGTCTACTCGTGCTGAAAATCATCAGCCACCATGCCGACTTCATTACTTACATTAGAAGTGTCCTACGCAGCTGTTAACTATTTATAAAAAATACTTTTTTTAGTGCAATAGACATCTTTTAAATTTTATTTAATTTTTGTCTTTTTTGGAAAAATACTATGTAAATACAAATTTACCAGAGTGAACTGTATAAAGACAGCATGTATTATAGTTTTCCAATAATTTTCAAAAAGTTGGGAGGAATTTCGCTTCTGGAAACACACTGTTGAAAACGATAGACCCACACATCAACAGGGCTACCCTGTTCATTCTTATCTGCGCAACGGCCGATTATTTCGTCAATCTCTTCTCTTTTTAATACAGGCTCGAATTGCCTTACTAAGCGATCTTTCTTGAAACCGGTTTCTGCGTCGAAAACTCCCCATTTGGTGAAAACACACACTTCATAGTTACGAACTACATCTTCGTCTGGGAAGCGTAATACCTCCTCGTGTTTCTGCAATTCTTCATTAAAAGGATGTTCTTTGTGGCATTCTCTCCGTATATCGTTGACCTCGTTGGCAGATTTAATTTTCCAGTCGTCTTGGGCTTGAGCCTAAAAATAAATGACAATTATTATTGAATCTAAATTTAATATTAAATTTATTCTTTTTCATTTTTCTGCAACAACAAATTATGTCATTTATTGATACTCGATTTGTATGATTCAATAACTAAAAGTGGGACAACTAGAGTCAAAGTAGTTTTGACTCCCCCGATTAAATATTTGCACTTTGGAAAGATGACTGAGAAAAGAATGTGTTTTTTTTTGTTTAATAGACGAAAAAAATATAAAATGGCGCATATTTACAAAAATTGGAGTTAACTTTGAAAAAAAAAAAAGACTAACGCCACTGAGTTCAGTGCACACGTCTTAGGGAAACCTTATATGTAGGTGCCTGCTTTGTCGAAATTTCCGACTAGCTCAGTGTTATTTATTAGACGTTGCATGACTTCTGAGGTAGATACATTCACCCAATACGAAATTGACACTAAATTATTTTTTTTTCTCATTTCAAAAATTAATACATTGAAAATTTTTCTAAAAATTTGGTTTACTGAAAACTCTTTCTGCACTTATTTGGTTTATTATATGAAAAATTTTGTACAACTTTTTCGGATCGGTTTCTCTCACTTTCAGCGCAAGATTGAATCAAATGTCTAATTTTTATCGGATTGGTAGATAACTGTTTGTATGTAGGTGTGATGATACTTACAAATAGAAATGCGGCCAGGATTAGAAAGAAATATTTCATTTTGAAGTACGTTTGGGTCTCACTTTCGGTTGTAACTGACTGGTTAAGACACTGGTGAGTCGTATTGTGCAAACATAAGTCCGTTACATTTACTAGTTTTTATGCTATCTCGTTAGACAAAAACAAACTATGTTTGCAAAAGTCGAAGGTCATTAGAGCATATTTCCTTATTATTATTATTATTATTATTGTTTTTTTTTTTTAGTTGATACTGAATCAACGTAATTTACTTACACACACACGTTCAAGCTATGTACATATTTATTATACTTAATTATATTTTTTGAAATGTAGCCGCTGTCCCTATGTAAAACCGTTCCCTCCCTCAAAAACTCGCAGCGCCAACTTATCGGAAGTCATCAACATCCATGCTTCTACACCATTTACCAAGTCTAGAATGTTGAGTGACTTCCAGAGCTTTGGTTTTGTTTATTGGGGAAGCTCTTAACTTTACAAACATCGTTCTGCGTTGGATTTCAATCTTTATTTATATTATTAAACAAAGTCTATGGTTACAATATGGCAGCATTGTTGTAGTAATTTGATTTAGTTATCTTGACAACCAAAAGGAAAGCGGCACCCAGAGTCTTTGCGGAACATTGAAGACTTCAAAAACTTCAGAAGGACTTGTTCCACGCAGCATATTTGACTAAAAGATCAATACTATTCAAATAGTTTTGCGTTTTCTCTTGAATTATTTACATATTTTTAGATTTAATGCGTCTCCAAGAAGGCAAACCCAATTAATACCCTCGGGCACTTTAAAAAAACGGCACTACGAATAAGATAGTAAGAAACCAGCGATTAACAGTTAGGAACAACAACGTATTATAACAACAATCAGCACTAAAATTAAAATCATAGAGCTCTCGACATAATTGGTGCAACCCAAAATATGTATGCACATATTATTTCTTCACTAAAGTATGTTTCAAGAAGCTCTGGACAAATATAGAATCAAAGATAAGGTCGAAGATAAATGTTACAAACTTCATTGATATAAGCCTTTACCGATCCCTGTAAGGTGGTAATGGGTCGCTGAAAAAGCTTACGACTTAGTGCCTTCAATATCAACAAGTGAAACTCTATTTAACATATGCGATCGCAAGCTTGAGAGAAAGTGTCGAGTGCCTGTAGCAGAATATTATGAGTGACCGTGTCAAAAGCTTGAGAGAAATCTGTGTAGATGGTAACTACTTGCCAAGCAGAGGTAAAAGATGAGATGAAATGTTAAGAAAACACTGTTAAATTAGTGACTATAGAAAGGCCACCTATAAAGCCATGTTTGTGTGGGTTTAAAATACATTCTATAGCTTAGGGCAATTGGACAGCTAAGACATTGGCCTGTAATTTCTTACGTTATTTTTATTGCCTGTTTCTTGATGTGAGCTTCCAAGAATCAATGCAAGCACCTCTAGAAATGGAAGTTGTTTAAGATTTTTTGTCTATCATGGAAGTGAATGAACACAAAGCAAGAAGAGTAGCTTTACTCAGCTCATATCATTTTTTCCAGCAAATAAACTAGCGTTGTAAAGAGGTCTAGTCAATCTTCTGGGTATGCTGTTGCAGTCCTGGGACTATACTCAGTTCCTCATCTTGCGGCCACGTCTCACAACTCGGAAACGTGAGCAACGTTTGTGCAAGATGCGGTAACCAACCCGTGTGGAGTCCTGGGTCACGGCTAATGAGAGAGGAAGCTTCAGTGGGGCCACTACGACTTAACCTGTTTAAGGGTATGCTAAAGTCTAAATGCAGTGCCTATTCACCAGAGGCGCGGCTTCTAGCGGGAATCGATCTTGAAGCAAGCGGCCCGCTATATAAATGTGTAAAAAACTTTAAACATACTCTTCTAGCGAGGTTGTTGGCTGGGTTTGGGGTCCGCCACGTAGAAACCAGCTTCAATAAAAAATTTATTTCTGCTTTGGATAAGATTCCTCCTTTCTGATGATGTCCTCTGCAATTTTAAGGATCACAATTTGAGGGAATACTGCTGGAATGTCCGGTGCCTAAATTAGAAAGGATGATATTTTCGTAAGAATTAAGGCTGTCATCACCGCCGTCCAAGAGGTGCGATGGGCTAGACAAGGACTGAAGCGAGTGGATGACCGTTCCACCAAATCAAACATGGCGGTGAAAAGCTGACAAGGCACATACATCAGCTACTTTGCCGAATATAGTCAGACAAGAGCGTGTCCGATCCCAGATCCTTCAACTACTGTGTGAAAAACTTCCTTAATATCGCATATGAGGACCTATCGAGCATATTGTGTGAAAGACTAAAACCAACCGACAACAAACTGAATGGACCTCATCAATGTGTCTTTAGACGTGGTAAATCAAAAATTTACTACTTATTCACCATACGCCAGATCTTAGAAAAAACCATGAGAAAATCGAACGCTCATCGATTTTAAAGCCGCCTTCGACAGCACAAATAGTAGTTGCCTTTACTCCGCTATGTCTGCATTGTATATCCTCGAAAAACTTATACGGCTGTGTAAACTGCCTCTAAGCAATACTAAAAGCTCCATCAGATTGGGAGTGATTTCTCCGAGCCTTTAATTGAGATCAACTGAGCACTTCTTCAATCTAATTGCTGTTATAATTAAAGCACAAGAGATGACGACGTTCCTTCTACCGTCTATGGTGAAGTTCCATAGTAAGCTGCCCGTTTGAAGGCTAGCAAAGAGGCGGGAGACGGCAAAACTACTGAAGTATGATAGTGAGCTGACAGAATGTTTGCATCTACCTCTAAGCAGCATAAGGTGGGATAAGAGCTTATTTGACGACTAGAATCTACGTGTATTTTGCCTGATCCACAATATGCAGCAGCTTTACCTCAAGATACAAAATACCTCAAAATTAAATATTTTGCATAAAACTCATATCTAATGAGTTGCCTAAAAGTTTGTGGAACAAATGTAAAGCGACAAACATACTTCCTATGCGAGTCAGCTCACAAATACTGACGGTAAGAGAAATATTAATGGGACGTGGGAAAGAAGATTGAAGAAAACCTTTAAGTCCAATCAATGTAGAAAGATTCTCTCAGGCGTTGAATACCGCAACATAAAAGCTAAGCAATAACGTCAACATTGACTTTGTTAGACCACCTCCAACGTGACACGAAAAGTTTATATTCGGAACCAGATGTGAGGGAAATAGATTGTAAGAGAAGCCCTATTCCGGAGACGAACTCGACGATGAAACACGGTTTGAAGTATAACTTTTTTACACGCGCTGGCCTTGAGTAGTAATGTGGTGTGTGTGTGCTACGGTGCCGTTATGAAATAGCTTGGTGTGAGGCAGTTGAGCGAGAGAATGTTAGAGAGGATTACATTGAGAGAAAAAAAATTGTGTTTGAAGTGTGTGGACCGCAAGCACACTTCATTTTTATTAGCATCCATTTCCGAAAAATACTTTCACCTTTAATGCTAATAAACGTGTAACGATATTAATTCAAATTGCTTTATTCCTTGACAATACGATAAGAATATAAAAAAGTAAGCACAATTAATCATACAAGCGCAGCATTCATTTGCTGAGTTTTCCTAAAGCCTCCAGAAATAGAGGTCCCAGTTTAGTTTTACCAACACACTGTTGGACGCGATAGACCCACACATCAGGACTGCTGCCCTGTTCGTTCTTATCCACACACCTCTTTGCTATTGGCAAGACCTCGTCTCTGTTTAATAATAATTCGAATTCCACTATTAGGCGGTCCATATTGAAACCGTTTTCCTCGTCGAAGACTTCCCATGTCTTGGCAATACATAGTAAATATTTTCGAACTACCTCTTCGTCTGGGAAACGTAATACCTCCTCCTTCTTCTGCAATTCTTCACTAAAAGGAATCTCCTTGTGGCAATCTCTGCGCATATCGTTGAACTCGTCGACAGTTTTAACTTTCCATTCGCCTTCTGCCTGAGCCTAAAAATAACTAACATTAATTTTAATTTTAATTAAAAATTTTTATTTCAATATTAATTGCACTCTAGTCGTAGACTTTTGTTGGTAGTAATATAAGAATATTTTGCTGATAGATAAACTTTTTTCGGCACCTTAATAGGCGGTTTTAGCTTTAAGAAGGCATCTTTTGGCATGGAGATACCTCATTTAGAGTGGCAATTGTGCTTCGGCAATTAGTTCAAATGCACGAGAAAGTGTTGGAGGATATTTTGAAAAACAGTAAATCAAATTTCGATTATTAATACTTGTTTTTATTATTTTATTTCGAAATAATCAAGGCAAACCCAAGGCGAATTTATAGAAGGTGAATTTGTCATATCAAATGATTGCTTGTTCTTCCTTCCATTTCAAAAAATTACGCAAACAAAATATATGGAAAATATGGTGGGCATTTCAAACGTTCGTTTACACAAACAAAATACATTGACTTTTCGAAACTATAATTACACAAACAAAATTCATAGGATTTCTGTTTCTGTATTCTTGCTGCTGCGGTGTGTGAATTTGCCTTGGGCAAACCTCGTAAAAGTCACTGCCGAAGCGAAAGCTTTAGCTTACTACAATATGATTTATAATTTTTCCCCTACATAATTTTCCTTCCCATATATTAAAGGAAACGTTTTCTAAAACTATTTCAGTTCGATTGCTGTATTGATCTCTTATCGCGAAATTTAACCCTTTGCCTAATTTAAATCAAATTGTAGATTATCCCGCAGAAGTCTGTCATTTTCAATATCAAAATAACTGTTTATATGTACGTAGATATGGTGATACTTACAAGTAGCACAGCTGCTAGCAGTAGAATAAAATATTTCATTGTGGATTACGTTTTGTTCTCACTTCCGGGTGCAACTGATTGGCCGAGGCACTGGGGACTGTATTTATACTGCTCGAAATGAACGTTATCAGTTATTATTAATAGACTAACTACTGACATATGTATGTATGTACATGACGTTCGGTTTAATTCGATTTAATGTTGTTTCAACTAATACAACAACAAACTAAAGCAGTTTCTCGGGGTCGTGACATGACAGTTATATTTCTAACTTTTTTTTTACTGGTTGTTGATATTTTTATATTTATTTACTTTCTGATAACGTTAATTGAACAAAGAATTCATGCATACAAATGTAAATATAAATATATGCATTGCAACAAACACAAGTCCTTTAAAATCCATACATCAGTTGGTACGAGTGTTGAGATGCTAGTACAGTCCTTGGTACTAGGCTGGAAAGCTTAGTCAACATTTGTTGTTTTTACCTATAAGAAAGTATATACTTTAGAGTTTAAGCTTCGCAGATTTAATCGAAATCTCTCATAAAGTATGGAAGAAGGAGTTTTGACTACAAATTTTTTACTCGAGATGTCTTATAAAAATTTATACGGTTCGTTCCGATATAAAGATCCGACTGTAATGAGAACCTTTGTATTTTAGTGGCGAATAGTAGTTGCCTTTACGCCGCTATGTCTGCATTGTACAATATATTCTCGAAAAACTTATACGGCTATGTAAACTGTCCCTATGCAGTACTAAAAGCTCCATCAGCATCGGGAAGTACCTCTCCGCGCTTTTAATTGAGATCAACTGAGCACTTCTTCAATCTAATTGCTGTTATAATTAAAGCACAAGAGATGACGACGTTCCTTCTACCGTCTATAGTGAAGTTCCATAGTAAAATTTTTGAGCTCCTAGCCCGTAGGGGTAATCAAATTATCGTCTCTCTGATGGCAACATTATCGGAGACTTGCACTTCTTCAATAGGGAGAGAGGCAGCGAATCGTAGGACAATCGAGTTGAAACTTACTTTTGAGATCGCTTCCGGCGAAGTCGAGCCACCGAATATAATTTTACGCTATTTAAAGTGATTCGATGACAGCAACTAAACACAACATAGCCACGTCTTGAGCTATAATTGGTGCTTTGTAAGTGCCCTAAAGAGATTTTAAATCGAGCTTCTCCTTCAAATTGAATTGTGGTGTGCGTCTTGGTGTTTTACCAACAAATTGAGCGAACAACATTTTATTCTTAGCCATCAACAATGGATGAATTATACGCTTGACTTTTTCCTCATCAAAAATACATATAAATTTTTTTAATTTTCACCATTTCCGACATTGATTATATACTGAATCACTCAGTAGGTGCTGAAATTTAAATGAAATTTCAATTTTAAACTGTTGCTTGAGTAAAATGTAAATGTCAATTGTTTTTGCTATAGAGGTGATGAGATAGAAGAATCGGCTTCTGATTCCGCCAACTCCCATTATAAATTATCCTGATACCTGTAGCCATATTAAAAGCATTGCAGCAAACACCGTTGTGTGATTCGAGCGAGAGAGTAATTGAGTAATTGAAAGGAGAGAAGTCCAGGAATAAGGCTCTGAAAAGTACTGGAAGTCCACGAAACAGTGCATGGTCTCCCATTAAAAAGCTATATGTCGTAATCTATTAGTATCTCTCAGTCTCAACCCAAAAGTAAATGAGCAGCATTGAATAACTTTGAAAGCAATACAGGTCAAGACTTGTACTCATAGCTACCTTCAAACTGTATAAATATGTGAATGGGTCTAGGTGAACAACGGAAATGGAAAATATCTGCTGTCATCAAACAAGAAGTCTGGACACTCGAATCTTGCCTACCACACCACCATCAAGATAATCAAGGACTGGCCAGCTGAAGCGCCTTACATAGATCGGTTGGCTCTTTTTGATGCCAGATGAAGGTCCGTTCAATTGTGATTTAATGCTTAATTTGAAGCTTCCTGCATGTAGTTCTTTGAACTGTAAAGCTCCGAGCTATACGAGGCGAGTTCTAGCTGAGTCCGGAGACAGAAATAAAGGTCCGCTTGCCTGGGAAGGCACTAGGTTGTGGTCCGTCATTAGGGCTATGACTGTTGTTTAATCCTTAAGCGAACTTTTAAGTAAGAAATGGTTGTATCATTTGCTGCTATTGTACATGAGCTTGGTGGGCTTGTCTGTCACTAATGCGTTCCATCTTGCTTTGGTTGGGTAGCCAGCTCTTTTGCAAATTTGATTACCGATAGTTTTTTAGCTACTCGTTCGTTACAAAACAGGTGGAACTTCTGGCAATATAATCAACTATTTAATTACCCATAATGCCTTTATGGCTTGAAACTTGGTATATATGAAGCCATTTACACTCCATGGGCCTCTTTAAAGCTACAAGCTAAGAACACATTTGGTCGCCTGGCTATCTATCTCAGCAATTTTCTTTCTAGCGGAGACCTGCGATTGTAAAATACATTAGTACTCTGGAAGCGTTAAAGGTTGCCTGGGTCCCAGCTCAGCGTAATAGGCTCTCACGTCCATCCAGCCTTCTGTGACCCTTGAGTGATAACTCCACCTTATTGACTCTCGGGTCTTTCCGTCTTTTGTCCCAGTATTAATAATAACAACAATGTTGCCTGGAAATTCGAACTGAATAGACAAATGGAAAGTAAAATTCTCTCCCAACGAACCAACGCAAATCAAAAGTTGCGGACGGGAAACAGATTTGTAGGAGTTCTCGAGAGAAGTGTTTGGCGAACGATATTTGCAGATAATAAAGGAAAACACCACAGACAATGGAACGTTTAGCTCTACGAGATAAACGACAACCTTGGCATGGTTCAGCGAATCAATAGACAGTGGCTACGCTGGTTAGGTCATATCAGATGTAGGGGCGTCAACACTCCAGTTTCCCACTTAGTATTGGTCGGTGGAAGCAGAAGAAGAGATAGGTCTAGAAGACCGCTAAAAAGATCAGCTAAAGAAGGGCCTGGCTTTCCTTGGAGTTTCTTACTGTCGCCGAAAGACTGAGATAAAAAAAAGAATGGGTTTTCGCCCGAACCCAAAGTAATATGTTTATATAAATTTAATAAATTTGTCAAAATATTTTTCTTTTGTTTTTAATCTGAGAAAAATTCGGCGGCACATAAATCATATTGCACAGTTAAAGTATATAGCGCTTTGTATTGTATATATGTGTATATGAGATTATGTACATATGTATGTATGTAAGCAAACATTTTCTTATGTTGTCTCCATAACAACTATATGGCCATATGGCACGCCATAGCAGGTGTCACACGAAAAGCAAGTACAATAAATGATGCGCTAAACGAGTTTTGTAAAAATGTCTGCAATAGGAGAAGTATATATGTGCATACACATGTACTGTATGCAATCATTTGCGGTGAAACTTGAAATTAAGATGCGCTGAGGCCTTTACTCTCCTCAAATACTTATTATGTAATGATGATGGAAGCGCCATCACATTACATACACACACACATAAACACATATTTATAAAAATCGGAAATCCTGCTTGAATGAGTTTTTGTTTTCTTTTGTTTTGTATAATTTTTTATTGAATCTTTCCTTTTTGGAAACTAACAATAATTTCGAGATTTTTGTTTTCTAGACTTAGCTTGGACTTAGAGCCTACAATCCAATTTAACTCCCAGGTAGGTAATGAATTTTTTCTGAGGTATTGCATTCCCGTTTATAGAAATTGAAGGACTTGTTAGCCACTCTCTATTACTTTTAAATGATTACAAGCTTGAACTGGCAGTGATAGGGTTTGAATGGACACTAGGTATTGCTGTAACATCCGCAAATGTTGATGTGATAAGGTTTCGGTTTGTGGGACAATCGTTCATATAAATGAAATATAAGACTATAGAGTGAGCAAACATGTTTGTATGGCGGATTTCCCTTTGAGGTCTTTAAATATCTATAAAAGATTCGCAGGCATAGACGATGAATTTATTGCTACTGAGAATTAATACGATAAACTGATTAAAAGAAGTTCTACAAAAACGCTCGAAGGAGATTAGTACCATTTGTTTGAGAATACGTGTTAACTCCAGAAGCCAATATGAAGGGTTTTCCAATAAGGATTATAGAATTTCTATGTGGTGTGTGGTGGATGTTACACTTCCCGACTACATTGAGCTGGCTGGAGCAGACGGCCTACCGGCAAATTTATTCAAACACCGCGGTGAAGAGCTGTCAAAATAGGTTTACCTGCAAAACAGATTCCGCAACAAGAAAAATCAAATAATTAAATAATTGTCAAAATATTGAATCAACCAAGCGTAATGGTTTTTCAGTAAGAGAGAGTTTTTGTCAAGAGGGAACGAAAATACTGCTTTTTTGTCCAATCTCTGATTACTGAATCATGGTCGTGGATCATCTGTTACATCAGTATATGGTAGAGGTTTTTTCTCAGCTTTCAGTAAATGTTGGGTTAAGGATTTCAATAGCCTATTAGTTACCAAATAAAACCCAGCTGTATGAAATCCAGACCATCAATTGAATAGAGATAAATTGGAATTTATATAATGGCAATTCTTACTATTGTGTAAAACAACTTACACTGGGTTGCGAATAAGATTCTTCGTCTTTATAAAAGTCATTTACGGCTCATTAATCTGTCGTAAAGCGATGTTTGGAGGTTATTTTCAACTGAATCAATAAGAGGTGTTATCATCCCTTTAAGAACATCTAGACCACTTTTATTATTTTTGAAAAAGCAATATTTGAGTCAAGATTATAATACTTATTCCACCAGCATTGATTCCTCCAAGCCTTATTTATGCATCAAAAAATAATCTATTGCGGCTGGTAAAGAAATCTGTAGCTGTTTAGTATAAGAGGCAAGCATAACCGCGACCTTCCGTCATCGTTCTCGGATTCAGGGCAGTCCAGACTGTCACTGGGTTTTAGTTCTGGCCCAAACAACATCCAAAATTACAGAAAATCCAAATAAAAAAATTAATTTAATTTTTTTCTATTTGCGGTCGCTATACGGCTGGGAATGCCACGCCCTTCAATTGTGTTTTTTAGGCTTCTCATTAAAATTAAGTCTACATCTGTTGGGA